CAATACGTTCTCTAGCATCTCTCGCGCGCGCGCGGAACGTCGGGCACGCGGCGCACGAAGCATCTGGTCCCGTCGGACATGGCCGGCCTGGATCGCGAACCCTCTCGCAGGGACATTGCCCCACCGCTGGAGCGAACGCGCGTTCCCCGACGCAGAGACGGCTCTCCTCGCCGTTTTTGTCATGCCCTGTAGCCCGTCCTGCACCATTTGCATCGCCCGTTGACTGTAAGACAGCTCGCGTCGCGCTTCCCACTCCTGCACGTTCGAGAGGGCTTCTCGGTGCAGGCGCTGCCTTGCTGCCTCAACTGCAGCTTGCGCTTGCATTTCTGCTCCCCGCAGGGCCTGCATCGCTTCTTCTGCCTCTGCCTTCGATGATCTTAACTCTGTTGCCTTTCGCATGGCCGACTCCTCCTCCTCGAGGGCCCCCGTTCTGACTCGGATCAATGCCTTGGCCTCTCCGCAAGTTTCCCCGCGCATTGTCGCGGCAGAAACAGGCGCCCGTCTGAGTTCGGCCTGCACGTTGGCAGCTCCTTTTTGTGCATTCCCGGCCTCGTGCTCGAGCAGATGCTGCTTGGCCTGGGCTTCGCGAAGGGCCGCGTCAGCTTTTCTCTGTGCCTCTGCAGCGTTCTGTTCCAGCTGGCGTCTCTCAGCAATGGACATGACTGCGATTTGTTCTGCCTCGGTAACGGATCGTTCCTGCGCCGCGGTTGCTTCTCGGAGCTTCGAGCGAACCTGTTCTTCAAGTTTCGCCTCCCGGCCCTGCGCCCCCCGGAGGGCTTGCCGGGCCTGTTCGGCGATAGCCTGCTCTGCCTTCCTCTGCTCCTTAGCCTCTCGGTCTGCCTTGAGCGCAGCCTCGTGGAGGGCATATGTTTGCTCTTTCTCCATTCGAAGGATTGCATTGAGCTCTTGTTCCGCCTGTTGCGCAATGAGTTCGTTCTGCATTCTCTGCCGAGCTCCCATATCTGCCATCATTGCGCGCGTGGATGTTATCTCGGAAATGCGTTCTCGCTCAAGTTGGTTTTGCCTCATTTCCTGCTGCAGCCCCCAATCGCGGCGTTTGCGCGAAAAGCAGTTGCGTTGCTTAGGTGGCAGGCGCCCCTGGCAGAGGCATCCTAAATTGCACAGAAGGCATTGAGAATAACATCCCCGACGCACAGGTTTCTGACATAGCCGATCATCACTCGTTCTGCCCGGGCACCGATTCTCGGGGCCTGCCTCGCATGCTGGCCCGCGATGCGCGCGCGATTCCCTCATCGTACATTGTGATGTCGACGATCTTGATAGAGAGGGCCCATGATGAGATCCCCGTGAGTTGCGACTGCGACCGCCCTTTCCCGACCTTGACCTCCGGGACACTGAGCCCGGCGAGTCAAATAGCTGCCCCCCGCGGGGTCGAAGATCTGGGACTGGCTCTGGGTCTTCCTGACCACCCGGGCCGCCAGGCTCGGTCGTAGGGCGCTTTTCATACGGGGATTGTTTTATGTCCACGGGGTCATCCCTTGGTGTTTTCCCATGTCGAACCTCGATCGCAGTCCCCCCGGACGAGGCCCCCACGTTCTCCCGGCGTTCGTAATTGCTTTTGTTCTTCCCATTTCTTCGGACACGTTCCGTGCCTTGTCTTTTCGGGCTTCCTTCAGTGGTCGACATGTTACGGCTCTCCGACGAGCTCGAGATAGACATGGCCTCCTCCTGGCCAGCGAAGGGTTCGATCTCGTCTTCTTCGTCGGATGAGCTGGAGTTCGCGACGTAGGCTTGTTCGACATCGTCGGACAGTGGGTTGCGCGGACAGTGCTTACCCCCGTATCATTCATCGTCCTCTTCCGAATCGCCTTCTGGAACAGGAGTATATTGTCGCCCTCGGTTCACGGGGGCACTGTCTTTTCCCACTGCATCACCCGCCGGGGAAGCATCTCGTATGGTAGCGAAGGGGCTCTTCATCACTAGCTTCGCGATGGCCTTGTCGTCCTGTTGTGTAGGGGACACTGGTCTATCAGGTGAGTTGATATTATGCAGCATTGTCGCTTTTGTTTATCGGATGCGTGGTGAGGTCGACTGCGTTGGTCCGTCGACTCGTTCTTTATACATTCCCGTTGTTTTGGGGCTGGTTCTACCTCCCTTGTTCTTTTCCATATTCACGGAGGTGCTCACACACGCCCCAACTTGATCGACATAGTCGGTCATCCATAACCCAGGGCTTTCGGCTGATAGCCCATCTTTACCCAGCTTAGCCCCAACCGGGCCCAAATCGTCAAGTAAGGTAGTCCTCAATGTTTGGGTCCATGCTAGCGGGTCAATGGACATTGCGGGCCGAAAAAGGAATGGAATGTCTCGTTAAGCATAAGGTAAGGAAAGGATGATGATGTGAGCACGCGCGCGTGGGACGCGCGCGACTCTTTTCCTTCCGAACCACAATCGCTGCAGACGGTCAATTCTCTGTCTGCACGTGTAATTGTATATACAACGACGGCGGAAAGGAGCGTATAGTAACGACTTGGTATTAAAGTTCCCATCGTGCTCCTCCGCCCCTCCTCCTCCTCCTCCCCCTCCTCCTGCTCCTCCTCCTCATCCTCCTCCTCTTGCTATTCCTCCTCGTCCTCCTGCTCTTCCTCCTCGTCCTCTTCCCCCGCCTCTTCCTTGTCCTCCTCCCCCTCCTCTCCCCCTCCGGGGCCCAAAGTTCCATTAGAGAAGGGGGGGGCTGGGAACGGGGATGGCACAGGGAACTCACCAACGCACCCCTGGGGCCTCCAGAGCCTCCAAATCTGCACCCCACGGCCTCCACGATTCCCAAGATGCCATCCAAGCTGGCTTGACTTGGGCTCCAGGGCTCCAACACGCCGAAGGGTCCTCGAAAACGACCTAGATGGTTTCTAAAGATTGCCCGAAATTCCCCAATGACGTCCCAGGAGGGCTCCAACACCAACCCCCCGCAGGGCGCCACGAAGCAAGAATGTTTCAATTTTTTCGGGGAAGCACATGTTCTAGCAAGTTCGCATTACACAGCGCCCGAAATGGCTTAAGAAACCCCCAAGGATCGCCCCATGACGGCCCAGGAAGCCCGAAAAGGCCCCAAGACGGCCCCAAGACGGCCAAAAAAGAACCCAAGATGGCCCAAAGGGCCCAAACAAGGCCCTAAAAGGAGCGCAGCGCGAACTGACCTTCCGAGCCCCCCGCCCGAAAAACACTCCAAAACCGCCAGCGCGCGCCCAAGAAACTTCCTAGATGCCCGAAAGGTCTCCCAATTATCTTCCCAGCTTCTCCCGGTCATCATCGTGGTTTCTCCCCTTTCTATTTCCTCCGTGTTGCTGTTCTGTCGTGGATGCGACATGTCGCTGGCGCCCGGGTGGAATGTCGACCACCACCTGGGCGTTCAGAAACAACACGTTGCTGGGCACACACACGCACACTTTTAGCGGTCGCGGCCTCGCGCGCAGCGTCGAAGCGGAGAAACTCCCCAAACGGTAAGCGCGCACGCACTTTTTTAAACTCGGCGGCGCGAAGGGTCTTCAAGCGCGGGCAGCAGATGGAAGTGCGAATTGCGATCGAGCGCTGTCGAGGGCATAGTGTACGAAACGTCGCACACTGCAAAGTGCAAGCGATGAGTGACGTGTTAGAGGGACTGTAATTCCAAACGTAGACATACAGCGGCCAGAAAACTGATGAGGAGACCCGAATCAAAGTGAACTGAAGCGCAAGCAGACAGGTGTTACTTGCAGGCGGCATGCGAGAAGGAGAATGAGAAGGAAAAGGCCCTCTCGAAGGCGGCGGAATGTTTCAGAAGCCCTCGCGCCTTCTGAAGGTATTCTGCGTCTTCGGGGAAGGCTCAGAAACTTCTCCGAAGGCTTGGGGATTTCCGGACATTCTGGGAAGACCCGACCCGACCCGAACCTTCTGGGAAGACCCTTGGGCTCGCCGCCGATAGTGGTGGCCACTAGATCACCGGTACGACGACACTGCACAAGCGCGTCCCTCTACTCGCAAAGCAACTGCTCGCAAGTGGCCCAGATCCGCCATGGGGGATGTATAATACGTTACATCGATGCAGAATTGTATGTTTTTTTCTTCTGACGTTTGCGAGTAGGCACTTTGCGAGTAGGGTAAGGCGCCCGGCGAGACACACACACACACATGTTTGCGCCGTCGACTTGGCAAAGGGTGAGTGCGCTGGCGATGCGAGGTTTAAGCGGGGATGCCGTTAAAGCGAAGCCAAATGCAAGAGGAGGAGAGAGGATGGACGCGGCCGAAGGAAAACAAGGACGGGGCGGGCGGCTCAGGGGTCAGAACGCTCCCCGAGCGCGAGGCACGGCCGGCAAACACACACACACACACAACAAAAAAAAAACACTAAGCCATTTGTTCCTCGGCATAGCGCCAGCAAGCGCAGGCGCGAGGCCTCGGCACCGGCGGGGCGCACTGGGCGCGGGGTGCTGAAGCCAACCCACATGGCAGGGAGGCGCGGCCAGGATGCGCAAGGAGCTTGGACGCCCAGGGCGAGGCTCCTCGAGCGGGGCTGGCCATCGGAAGCGGTCGAGGATGAACCGAAGATGACTGAAGAGGCTGAGGCTAGGAAGCGAGGCGTCGGAGGCAACTGCTGGGAGGTTCTTCGTCGGCAGGATGCCGAGGACAAGAACAGAAATAAGAAAAAGAAGAGAAAGGATTAAAAAAAAAAAAAAAAAAAAAAAAAAAAAAAAAAAAAAAAAAAAAAAAAAAAAAAAAAAAAAATTAAAAATAAGAAAAAAAAAAAAAAACAAAAAAAAAAAAAAAAAAATAAAAAAAAAAAAAAAAAAAACAAAATTAAAAAAAAAAAAAAAAAAAAAAAAAAAAAAAAAAAAAAAAAAAAAAATAAACAAAAAAAAAAAAGAAAAAAAAAAAAAAAAAAAAAAAGAAAAAAAAAAAAAAAAAAAAGAAAAAAAAGCCCCAATTGGGCAGCTGCTCTGGCACCCAACTCCTCCTGCTTCCAAAAAAACCCCCACCCACCCCAAAGCACTCAAATCAAAAGCGGATCACGGGGCCGCGTGGAGCGGGATGAGCCGGACGCGGCCAGGCTTCGGAGCACAGCCGGTCGTCCTGCCCGTGCGGGCTGGCCGCGGGGCGGGCGGAGAGAGGCGCGGAGGGCGGCCGCGGAGGCGCCCGGAGGGAGGAGGCCCGGCCGCCGGGCACCGGCGGGGCGGGGAAGAGGCGCGGGCGGCCTCGGGCCCGGGGGGGGGGCCAGTGCGTCAAGCGCGCGCAGGAGGGTGCAAGTGGGGCTGGCCGACGGCAGAGGAGCCACACGCACACACGGACACACGGACACACACACACACACACAGACAGACACAGACACACACAGACACACATGCGCGCACACTCACACACGCACACACACACACACACACACGCGCACACACACACGCGCACACACACACACACACACACGCGCGCGCACACACACGCACACGCGCACACAAACACACACGCGCAAACACACACTTTTGGCGTCGGCAGCGAGGCAGAGGCATCCTCCACCAGCGGTCCAGTCACGCGGGGCGGCCGGAGGGCGAATTGCCCAGCGTGCAGGAGAGGGGACTGAGACAGACAGGGCGGCCGCGGAGGCGGGGGAGGAGCGGGGTGGGAGGCGGCCACATGTGAACCCTACCCCCACCACCCACGATGTCTAAGGGGGGTGGGGATTCACTCCGCTCGGGACCTCCCGAGCGAAATGAACCCCCACCGCCTCTTAGAAATCGTGGGTGGTGGGGGTAGGGTTCACGTGTGACCACCGAGAGGGGGGCACTCAGAGGTGAAGACTTCCATCCCACTCGCGCTGGCGCGGCCAGCGTCGGCAGCGGGGACCGTGTCAGCGGCTGGGCCGCGGCGACGGTGCACTGCATCCACGGGCCGCGGCGTCGGAAGCCCGGTACGCGGGAAGCAAGAAACAAATCGCACGCACGCACGCACGCACGCACGCACGCACGCACGCACGCACGCACGCACGCACGCACGCACGCACGCACGCACGCACACACACACACACACAAAAACAAACAAAAACAAAAACACGGACACGGATACGATCACGGAAATATTGTGTTGTCTTCGGGCCTTCCCTGGAGGTCTCTGGAGCCGCCCTCTTTTTGGCCCATTGCCTGGCGGATGACCCAAAGGTATGGGGAAACCAAAAGGTACCAATACCACTACTCCCTGCACCTCTCCCGGAGTGCGTTCTGACAGAATCTCGAAGCGAGTCCAGCGGCGGCGACGAGGGCCTCCCAGGAGGCCCGAAGAGGGGGGAACGCGGCAAGGGCAGTGGTATGGGTACCTTTTCCTCCTGTGAGTCCCCTCTCCGACTCGGGGAGGGGGTCCAGCGCCGACCGGTGCCTGGCTCGGGCTGGGCGAAAGGGGGGATAGCAAAGGGGGGGTTTGACAATCAGCTCACGTAGCTGATTTTCCTGGCGCCTCCCGGCGCCGGAGGCGGCCATGTATCGAGGAATGGGCCCCTCGGCGGGGCTGAAACCAGCTGCATGCAGCAGATTTCGTACCCCCCCCTTTCCCAATCCCCCCTTTCGTCCGGCCCGACTGGCAGGAGGGAAAAGGAGTCCCTGTGACAGCGGCTCTGGGGCCCCAGGGACCTCCCCCATATGGCACGCGCTGTGCCCATCCCGGGGCCTGGGAGCCCGAGAACGGCAAGCACCCTCCGGGGCCCCCCATGCCCCCACACCCCCGACGTCGTGGTTTTCTCACATAACGTCGACCCCCAAAGGTCGGGCCCCTTTCCCCTGGACCGGTTGTACGTCCGGAGTCGTTTTTCGACAGCCCCAGAGCCCGCCAAGGGCGCCCGGAGGGCGAAAATGGGGGCAAGCCTGCCGTCGTGAGTTTTTGTTTCGCGCGAGGAAGTCTGGGTCTCCAAAATGTCTCGTCGTCGCGGCAAACTTCGTTGGAGGCCCCGCAGAAAACAAGACCCACCAGGCAACCCTTGGGGCGGTGCTCTGGCCAGGGCTCCGAGGCGGATCCGGACGTGGTGGCGAGGAAGCCGCCCGAAGAGCCACACGCCCTCGGAGGTTCAGGTTCTGTGGCAACGCATGGGAGCCTCCCATCCTCGTCCTCCTCCTCCCCCTCACTTTCCCCTCCTCCTCGTCCTCCTCCTTGTCCTCCTCCTCGTCCTTCCTCCTGGCGTCAAGGATGGCCCAGCAAGAGAGAAGAGAAGCTCCTCGGCGCGCCTCACGACGGGCGCGGGCAAGCACAGGCGAGGCGGGGGCCTCCGGCAAACTGCTCCGCAACTGCGGAAGCGTCGATCCGGTGCGTACGAAGCAGGTACATAAGTTTTTGTGAGCCACCTGCCTTACAAACGTTCACGACGGCGTGGTTGTCTTCCATGAACTCTGCCCTCAACGTTTGGCCGAGTAGCATCCCCCACAATGGGAATGCCGGCTGGACGGGCTTCGTCATCTGAGACAACTTCCGCTTCCAATGCGCCATGAGACACTGCGGTCTGTCGTCGGGAACTGCAGGTTCGAAGCGCCCTCGCATTCGGTCCCCGCAAGAATTGTGCGTTCGCACTCGTACTGCGATGAGTGCGAATGTCGCTTGCCAGATCAGCATCCGCGAACTGGCTTAACCATGCGTCTTCACGGCGATCGCCCACCCAAGACACCAGGCGGTAATGCGCCGTTTCCTTCAGATAGCAGATGATTCGGAACAAGTGTATATCCCGTTGTTCCGTCCATTTGGTGACACACGCAGCAGTTTTGCAGACTGCGTTCAGAAGATCCGGACGTGCCATGCGTGCCCCATGCAAGATGGTCATCATAACCTTAGATGCAATGGGTAGCAGAATGCCTGATGAGGCAGGTGGCTTAGGATCAGGGGCTGGCGGGCCCTCCATTGGAGGGCCACCCGCGCTCACCTCAGCGTCAGGGGGCCCAACGGCGGCGTCAATGCGTAAGCGCGCAGCCAAGGCCTCTTCGGCAGGTGCCAATACTTCTCCGCGCGGCCCCCCTTGGCCATCCTCGAATGAGGACAACTCGGGGCCGAAGGGGGCCCCCGACAGCGGGTGAGTGGCTTGGTCGGTGTCCGTGAGTTCTGCGCACAGAGAAACACAGGACTTGAAGAATTCGGCCATGTCGTATTCCACTATCCACACCTTCTTCTTCGGTCTGGCTTATACTCTGGCAGCGGGGGCGGCTGTGGTGGAGCCGAAACCGCGCGCCGTTGTTCGCGCAACCAGCTCTGCTCTGTGGGGTTCTGGCGCGTGTAGACAGTGGCTTCAGCGGTGCTGTCTTGGTATTCCAATATCGTAGCCGTGCTGCGCGGGCCATCGGGGAGCGGCGCCCGAAAACAATTCTCGGCGGCGGCGGCCGAAGGCGTTATCATTCCGCTGGCGCATGCAGTGTCGTCAATCCTCCCACGTGTCATAGTCGAAGGTAATCCTGCGGACGACCCTGTGCCCTTCTGGGCCGCCCGGTCGAGACGCGTGGTATCTGTTTGCATTAGCATCAAATCTCACCCACACGCTGTGTCCTTTAGGGACATGGAAGAATCTGTCACAGTAGATCGGGGCAGCATTGCTCTGCTGCATTGCGCCATGGGCGACAGCAGATGGTTGGCGCCCAGTGTCAGCCACGCCGTTGGCGTTTTGGCCCTTGGGCGGCGGCGGGTCCAACGCGGCTGGGGCCGCGCCTTGCCAATCGACCCATTTCTCCGAAACCCTATGTTCGCATCCGAGGTATCTTCCCAACAGGGTCCATGTCGATTCCTTCTGGTACGGTCTCGGATGGGCTCAAAATCAGATCCCACCTCGTCTCCAGATTTCGAGAGGGACCCGCAAGTTTGAAATCGTGATCGTCTACGTATACGATCAGAAATCGTTCAAGCTCTGGGTGATAGTAACAGCTCCTCGAGCAGGAAATTGGAGTAAACCCCTGCGACATAACGTGCGCCTCACAATGCTGTTCCCAAGAACCTCCTGCATCAGGGCGCGCGCCAGTAGCAGGGGGCATACGGGGTCGGTCATGCCCCCCCCCCCCCCAATTCTTAGGCCAAGCTTCCTTAGGCAAGCGCACCCACGTCGGGGTGCCTCCCAGCTTAGATTGAGCGCATGCCCGACGAGCGTCAGCCCGCTGTATGCAATGTCCTTCGAACAAGCCGTACGCGTCGGCAGCTTTGCTCGCCTGCATTGTAGCCGGGCAGCTGGAGAGCTCTTGAAACAACGCAACGTTTCTGTCGAGATCTATAAAATAGGATCCATCAACAACGACCCTCCCTTGTAATTTGCGGTCTTCATGATCCTCGGGGGGTTCGGCGTTCTTTTCGTACCGGAGCGCAAAGAGTCTCCCGATGTGAAAGGTCTTTCCTGTCATCTTTGCCCTGGCATCGCGGAGCTCTTGAACTTTCGATTCATCCTATGTCTTAAGATTTCTGAGGCGCCCCCACTCATCCATCAGCGCCTTCTGGGCTTTCTCGCTGTTGGCCGCCTCAGGGGTCAAACATCATATTAAGGATCCGCAGCGCTAATATGATGCGAACTTGGCGTGATGATGGCACTGATGATGATGATGATGACGGTGGCGCTGATGCCGTTGATGTCGGTGGTCATGATGACGATGGTCATGATGTCGGTGGTCATGATGACGGTGGTCATGACGACGATGGTCATGATGTCGGTGGTCATGGTGTGTCTCTGATTGTGCTGATGATGTCGGTGGTCATGATGGCGACTACGATGGCGGCGATGACGACGACAAGTTTTTCCGCTCGCAAGTGTCGCGGCGCCAGCTGCCGCGACGCCGCCTTGGCCTCAGAAGGCGCGCCAGAGGCAGCGCCGCGGGCACGCCAGAGGCAGCGCCTCGGCCACGCCAGAGGCAGTGTCTCGGGCAACCATATCCTAGTGAAGGTCTCCCAAGGGTTTCTCTTATCTGCCCGCTTCCTGAGGGCGGTGAATTAATTGTCGGGGCACGCCAGAGGCAGCGCATTCTGGCCGCTTTCTGAGGCCGCTTCCTGAGGGCGGCCAGGGCACCATTCGGCCGCTTCAGGCCGCTTCCCGAGGCCACTTCGCGTTGGGGCGCGCTCGCCATGGCGGGGCGCGCCAGAGG